TAAGGAAGACCGAAGAAGAGTTGATGCTTTTGAGTTGTGGTGTTGGTGAAGAATACTGAAAGTACCATGGACTGCCAAAAGAACTAACAAATCTGCCTGGAAGAAGTGCAGCCAGAATGCTCCTTGGAAGCAAGAATGGCCAGACTTCGTCTGGTCATGTTGTCAGAAGGGACCATTCCTTGGAGAAGGCTATCATGCTTGGTAAAATGGAGGGTCAATGAAAAAGGGGAAGGCCCTCAATCAGATGGACTAATACAGTGGCTGCAATGATGGGCTCAGATATGGCAAGGATTATGAGGCTGGCACAGGATCAGGCAGTGTTTCATTCTGTCATACACTGGGTTTCTATGAGTTGGAGCTGACTCAATGGCACCTAACAACAACAACATATATATATATAAACCTAAATAGTACACTTGCACACCCCACTGAAGTGGTATTTCTTCTTTAGACTTTTCATTTCAGAGTGCTACAAGTATAGACTCCTCCATTGAACAAGTGGCTATAGTAGCTGTCCCACAGATGCTCAAAGAAGTCTCCAAGTAAGTGACAAAAGGGCACACTTGGATGCAAGCAAAACCATTTGGAACAATGTGCAAAGATTTGGCAGCATACAGGTGGTCCAAGAAGCCCAGGGTAGCCATCAGGGCCTGGAAATCCAACAGCTCCTTGAGTTCCATTACAGCCATCAAGACCAGGTGGGCCTCTCGGCCCTGGCTGTCCAGGGTGGCCCTGTTCAAAGAGAAAAGAAGGGAATAAGTAAGCACAGGACTGTCAGCTCCACAATGAGAGAAGCCAAGTATGCTGTCAAATTCCAGCTCCTTTTTCACTCCTTTAGCCCCAAAACATATGCTCTTATATCTTTCCTTTACACTCTGGTATGTATGGCTGATGGCAGCTCAGTATTACCCCTCCCAAAAGGATCAATGCTTTAATAGGATACAAGCTGAAACCCAAGGGATAGAGCATGAACAGTTGGGACATACAGATTGGTGCAATTTCATTTTTCCTGGGTATAAAGATGTACTA